ATTTACGTTCAAAAAAATCATTCCATATAATCAGTCCACATTGAATCACTTTACTATCACTTCCCAAATTGTAGGAATTTACATTTACGATTTATAACAAAAATTATTCTATATAATCAGTCCTTATTTTAAATCACTTTATTAGTTCCCTTCCATTATCCTGCATAATCACGCCTGCGTATATACTTTATGTCATTGTTTCAAATCCCTCCAAAAAAGGTGCAAAAAAAAAGTTACCCTCGATAAAATATTAATGAATCCGGATGATAATCCCTCCAGATTGACATTCTAGATTCTTTTCACAGTTTAAAAGGAATCAATCTCTCTATCATTATAAAATCAGAGATCAATAATAATCAACGATTAATTTTAAAAGAAGGGATTTAAATTTTCAGCACGGCATATATATCTATCTATACCTCAATGCATATCACGTTATATTCAAAAAAAAAAAAAAAAAACCTTAAAGCGGTACCACCAAATATCATAAAAACTAAATAACTAAAGGGGATCGCCCGGCCTTTTGGCCGGACCAAGCATCTAGTATCCTATTAAAATAACTGTTCAAGTGAGGATTCTTGCTAATGTGTCGCACTCTTATGCATTATTTTTCCACCAAAAACATAATACCATTTTTGGTGAAAAAAAAAAGAGAAGTCCCCTTAAGCTAATGAAATTATAGCATTAATCCTTCCTAATTTCACTAAATTAATATTCAACTTCTTCTCAATACACATACTAATTTTATCCCTTAAAACTAAATGCATGTAATAATTCATATTAATGCTATAGATATAATATCCATTACCTTGCATGAAATCTACCTTTTTGGTTGAAAAAAAAATAAATTATATTTTTGAATGTATGAAATTTTACCCCTTAATCTCGAAAGTACACATAATTTTTTTATTTATTTTTTTAGAAGAACCGGGGCGGTACCTGACGGGCATTCTCCCGATTTTATTGATAATAAATAAAAATTTACATAGGCAATGGTTAATACTTACCCAAGAGAAGAACTGTCTACAAAGATTTCTAAAATCTCCTGACGGTTCCATTTCAAGCTTACAGCTAAGAACTGTCCCATAAAGATTACTCTAATAATCTCATGATAGTTCAATGTTACTAACTGAGATAGAAAACTATTCTAAGAGGCCGCTTTACAAAGATCATACAAGAATCCCGCAGTAGGATTTTGAGTTTAGCTATTAAACAAAAAACTGTCTCACAAAGATTTTCGAAAAACTTCCACGACAGCTTTCTATTCTACTCAACTATCTAATGCGGAGATAAGGAAAAAACCTTTGATCTAGATATAGAATACCTCTCAAGGAGTTAGGAAGGCTGATTGGAGTATCATATTCAATAGATTGTCCTTGTGATGCTCTTTTTGACAATCCATTGGCCAATGCATTTATTTCGCGAAAAACATGCTGCATTTTGAACCCAGTTCTATGCAAGATACTCTGAATCTGATTCAAAGAACCGTGATGTCTCCAAGGAAATTTCTTGCCTTTTTGTATTAATTGAACCACCATTTTACTATCTATTTGAAGTCTGACTTTCTGGTACCCTTAGTAAAAATTTTAAATCTCACAAATTGTAATATCCATATCCTTAGTTAAAAGTCGTTTTTTGGCCTAAACAAATTCTTAAATTTTTATTTATTATGTTATTGCAAAATCTAAACCCCGTGACACTCGTACAATATAGGAAGAGAAAATTTTGGTGTGACATTTTTATGCAAAAAAAAAAGACGATATTTATTGTATAGAAAAGAACTAAAATTGTACGAGCTAACATTACGGGAAAAAAAAATATTCTCTTCATAATCAATTGTAATGACTCTAATGTTACAAATTAATTCTTTTTATCAAGAAAATTTTATAACTGTACAAAAACAACAAGAGAATGTCCAAAAAGATACTGCTTTACAAGATAATGAATATGCAATCTTTGTACGTAGTTTATCGATTTATTTGGTATTTCTATCATCTTTGAATTACTTAAACTTCTATTTTCAAAACACAATCTCAACATTTTCAGTTAATAATAAACTACACCATCTTACTGCACTTGTGTCTTTATTTATGGGGTATTCAATTATAGAGTATAGTTTCATTTTAGAAAAATATGATAGTATGAGCTATTGAATTTTTCTTTTATATTTTTAAAATTATTAAAAAAATATAAACTTATTAATTTCCGTGCAAAGCACGGTATGTAACCTAGTGATATACATATTATGCACAATTTTCTTAAAATTAATTTTATGAAAGTTGGACTTTCTTTTTTTTTTTTGACATAAAAAAAAATTTCATTAACTTTGTTGGAAAACGTCCAACCACGATTGACAAAGAATTACAATCCCTAATATATTACAACAATCGATTGGAATTCTATAACTAAGAATCAATCGATCATCTTTACTGCGGACGACTAAAACACAAACTCTTCCACAACACCCGCAAATATTTGATGGAAGCATCACGTACCAAAGAAAATCTCTGAACCCGAATACTTCACTTGTCATCAAATGAAAACCCCAAAAAGCATATCTAAAATATAGATCTACTTTGATTGCAAATACTTGAATATAAACTATGACTATGAGCCATAACAGTACAATCATGAATAAAACCACAAACTAAAGATTACACACAACAACAAAAGAACTTAATTACGATCAATAAAATCAAATATGTTGACAAACTACTAACACCCAGATCTACTGATGGACTAAATGTATTCAAATTAAAAAATCTAAAAGAAGAGTCAAATTATCTCTCCATCCTCCCACAGGAGGGAAGATGGGAAAAAAAATTAGGCAACAGAAAATGAAGAGGAGGGAGAAGAGAGAATTATTGATATCAGATTTATAGTTGGACTTTCTACCTCGTTGGCCTTTTTCGAGTGGACAAAGGATTCAAAACAAATAATTTCAACAAAGTTTGTAACTTTAAAATTTATAATAACAATCTATAATAATTATTAATAGCCACAAAAATGCAACAAACAAATTGCAAAATATATACTACAGGATTCTGGCCTTCATCGATTTGTTCGTCATCTTTTCAAAATTGACGAAAATATCGACACAAACAATTTCAACAAAAGTGAAACGTTTTGTAACTCTAAATTGGTAAAAAAATAAATGATAACTAATAACCAACCAACATTGCCATAAAAAAAATATTATACCGGAGAACATCGATAAATTAATAATTGATAAATTAATAATTTTTATGGTCTCAAGTCAGGACAGTACAAAAAACAAAGACAATCGATAAAATAATACGATAATAATTTTTCAAAAAACTCCTATGTAAATATAGGTCCCGTCAATATCATAAATTAATAATGACTAGAAATAAAAAAAAAAGGAGCTAGTAAAATATGAATATAACAATGTTTGCTTTTTCTTGAAATTTATATCTAAAGAAATTGTAGATATTATGAATTTTTTGCATGATGTATCCAGCCATTGATGAGAGTTTAAAAGATTTCCTATCAAAAAGTTCAAATTTCTTTTAATAAAGACATGTTACGAAAATTTGGTAGGTGAAAATTTTAAGATGATGGAGTCTAAATTCTAATATGTAGGGGATATAAGGGAATAAAAGAATATAAATCTTATACGACTAAGCTTAAAAGATTAATAAGATTTTTTGAGATTTTTTTAAATTAATATTATTAGTTTGTCGATAAAGTAATAATTATTAATTATCGATAAATTAATAAATTTGATAAATTAATAATTTTTGGGAGTACTAAAAGTATTAATTTATAAATGTTTAATTGTACTTGATAGTAAATTAAATCGGCCACGTATTTGTTTGTAATGAAAAAACAAAGACAAAAATGTCAACGAATCTGCATATAACGTGCATTTATACAGTAGTAAATTAAAGTTTTGACTTTTCACGTATGATTTGACAATGGTAACATACCGATCATAAGTTTTATTTAGTATGTTATTCAAATTAAAAATAAAATTTTAAAAATATTTTATAATGTTTAGAAGAATATAATAAATCTGAAAATCAACTTAAAGTTTATTTTCAATTAGAAGAACATATTAAATGAAATTTATGACAAATCGAAACATCTTATAATAATGATACGAGAAGTACTAAATTTTCTTATTGGTTGTTGATTTTCATAATTCAACTAAAAAAACAAATGCATTCCAAGATTCTATTAAACGAATCTAACAATCAGCTGGTTAAAATAACATTTGAAAGCGTTCACCATCATTTTTCTCATGAATCTTTGTGCTGTTTGAGATATGAGGATACTTCTATGAATCTTTGCAGTAAGGAGACCTGATTTCCTTTGTACCTGGTCGTCGGTGGAAGTGTTCTATAAGCAATCAATAGTTTTTTTTTTATATGAAAAAACTTCTACTCCCTCCATCCCAAAGTTATTGTCCAATTTGAATTTTCACTTTTAGAAACTTGGCACAAAAGCACGGAGCCATACTAATACTCCTTAGTCAGAAGTCTCAAGAAGTGACCAAAATGCCATTTTTTGCAGCCTCTTTTGCCCTACGTGAATTGGGACTTGGGAGTGCTTATTTAACCCTACTTATATTATTGGAACAAAAAATCTATGCATCGTCCGTGTGAAGGATCTGAGACCTGATTCTTGCATCATTTTATTCATTTCCAATTGATTTTGAAATAGAAGTTCAAATTACTTTTGTTAATAATTTCAGTCCCTTCAACAATATTTCCCTTTCTTCCTCGATCATTCTGAAATCTGAATTCTATACTGATTTTAGAAGTCGAATCGGGACAAGCAATTAACCTAAAGACAAATTTCTAAAATGGAGCAGTTTATGTGGACCATGGTTGAATACACATAATCTTTTGAGCATTTTTGTTGTTTTTTAGAAAGGAACCGATCTATAAATAGCACTTGCTCGACTTGAAACTTCTGAAACATTTCCTGATTTCCTCTTTCAAACGCACAAATCACAACAGAAAAAGAAAAAAATGATGACGGTGATGATTATGAAGCTTCAGGACATTATTATCAACATTGGTTTTCATCTCGCTGTTTCCTTGGCTGTTTTTGCATTTGCATCATCAGCAGCTCAATTTTCTCATCATCTTGATGAACCAGATAATTTTCTCCGTTGCCTGAATAGTTCCCTGATATTTCCAATTATCTGAACCAACTTGTCTATACCCCAAAACACCCTGATTTCCAATCAGTCCTAAATTTCTACATACAAAACGCGCGCTTTATAGACACCGAAAACACTCCAAAGCCCAGTTTGATTGTTGTCCCTTTTAAGGAATCACAAGTACAAACAGTGATCAAATGTAGTAACAAGAACAACTCAGGATTACAGATGAGAGTCCGAAGTGGTGGCCATGACATTGAAGGCAGTTCTTACACCTCAAATGTCGCCCCGTTTTTCATTCTTGACATCAACAAATTCCGTTCCATTTCCAAAATTGATGAAAAGAACAAAACAATTTGGTTCGGAGCTGGTGCAACACTTGGTGAAATATTCTATGCGGTTCAAAAGGAGAACAGTAACCTCAGCGCGGCAATGGGGAATTGGCCAACCGTTGGTGTTGGCGGCCATATCAGCGGCGGAGGCTACGGCGGATTGACGAGGCAATACGGCATGGCTGCCGACCAAGTCATTGATGCTATCGTCGTCAACGCGAACGGAGACAGTCATGACCGGAAATCCATGGGGGAAGATCTGTTTTGGGCTACACGAGGTGGAATTGGTTCAAATTTTGGAGTAATTCTTGCGTACCAATTGAAGTTAGTTGATGTTTCGAACAAGGTTGCTTCTTTTCGTGTGAGCAGAACACTTGAAGAGAATGCAGTTCAGCTTGTTCATAAATCTCAGCAGATTTCCACCACTATGCCATTAGACCTTTCCTTTTCGATCCAATTCAGCTCTGTTATTTCAGATCAAACCAATAATAAGAAACCAACTGTACAAGCTTCGTTCATCTGTACATTACGCGGTGAAGGAGGAGTCAAAGAGCTTTTGTCAATAATGGATCGGGATTTTCCTGAACTAAATGTGACAAAAGATGACATTTTTGAAATGTTATGGATTCAATACCTGCCTTTTTACAGCAGCTACCCAATCAATGATTATGCACGATTTTTGACGAGTAGAATCCCTTCATCCAAACCTTGTTTCACAGCTAAATCTGATTTTGTCAAGGACTCTGTTCCGGAAACAGGGGTTCAAGAAATAATGAACAAGCTTTTGGAAGCTCCGGGCGGAGCCGGTCAATTGGAATGGACATTTCTGGGAGGAGGAATCATGGACAAAATCCCTGAATCAGAAATTCCATTCCCACACAGAGGATATCTGTTCCTTGCTTTTGAGATGGTTCATTGGGACAAAAATAACAGCCCCGAAGAAATCGAGTAGCGCATCAACTGGCTAAGAGGTTTTCACAGTGATTTTGGACGATATGTTCCGAACAATCCAAGACCTGCTTATGCTGATTATCGTGATCATGATTTAGGTATCAACAGCCCAGATGGTACAACCACGGTTGAAGAAGCTAGATCGACTTGGGGTGGTCCTTATTTTGGTGTTAATTTTGGTAGGCTTGTTCATGTCAAATCTCGGGTTGATCCTGAAAATTTCTTCCGCAACGAACAAAGCTTCCCTGTACTCCAATTACCTTATTCATCATCCTTTTAATGTCGGTAACAGTTGCTGCAGAGTTGAGTTGGAGGAATATTGATTATCGTCCACTTTGTTGTATCTGTATTACTATTATTAACAATGGCCCCTCTGGCCTCTCATTTTGTTGAGTTAAATTGTTTTATTTTGTTGCTAAGTTCCAAATGTTCGATTCATAAACTAACTATATTGATTGCGATCTAGCGACTATTATACATGTACTTGTGGTTAAATTATTTTAATTGTGTTCATATTGATTACACAACCGGTTTAGACTGATTATTCATTCTATTTGTACTTGTTATCCAATCATATTTTTAACATTCGCTCCTCTTCAAAAAAAAAAAAAGAAAAGAAAAAAATGATTGAGTAAGCATTAGAAACCATTTGGATAAGCAGTATAAACTGGTTGGATAATCAGTACTAAAAAATCGGACAATCATTTTTATAAGAAAGCAAGAAAAAAAAAATAAGTTGAATAACCATGACCAAGAAGTCGAATGGATAATCAGTATGAACATATGGTACGGATATTTTATCAAAAGAAGAAAAAAAAAAAGAAAGTTATGTTTGGATAATCAGTGAAAACGATTGGATAACCAATACAAAACGGTTGGATAGTCAGTACAAAAAATAAGACAAAGATTTTTGCAAAGAGTAGAGAAAAAAATGGTTGGATAATATATACCAAACAGTTGGATAATCAATATGAACGCGTTGGACAACCATTTTATTTTAAAAAAATAGTAATAAAAAGAAAAACCAGGTTGGATAAGCAATACTAATTAAGTGGATAAACAATATTAACACTGGGCAACAATTTTTTTTTTTAAAAAAATATTGGATAACCAATACAAACGAAATGGATAATCAATTCAAACTGGTCGGATAATCAGTATGAATACAATGGATAACCATTTTAAGAAAAAACTAGGTTGGATAAGCAGTACCAATTAGTTGGATAACAAGTACAAACACATCGGACAAGTATTTTTTCATAAAAAGAAATAATTAGAGAAACAATAGCACGGGATTAGATAATCAGTACGAATACATTGGATTGGAGAAGCATTTTCTTGATAGAAGAAAAAAATGGTTGAGCAAGCAATACGAACTTATTTGGACAAACAGTAAAAACAACTGGATAACCAATACAAAGCGATTGGATAATCACTACGAACACATTGGATAAACGTGTTTCAAAGAAAAAAATAATTTGATAAGTGGCATAAATAAAATGGATAACCAGTATTAACGAAATGGACAATGATTTTTTTCAAACAAAAAAAAATGATTGGATAACCAGTACACACAATTTGGATAGGCATGTAAATCCGTTGGATAACTAGTACACATAAGTTGGATAGACATACAAACCAAATGGATATCCAATATAAACAAGTTGTACAAATATCCAGTACAAACAAGTTGTATTTGCATACAAACCCATTGGATTAGAACTACAAAACAAGTTGGATAGTAATACAAACCAAATGGATGAATATCCAGTACAAACAAGTTAGATAACCAGTTCAAATTGGTTGGATAATCAGCATCAATATAATGGATAAACAATTTAAAATAAGTTAGTTATCCATTTTCTTAAACTAGATATCCACCATATTTCTGCCAATCAGAATTAAATCATTTTTAAGCTCGAAAAAATATTCCATATGGATTTTGTTGGATAGATCTCGATGAATATAATAAAATTCATGTGTAAACACGTTATCTAATTCTTCACGGATTGAGAGATATGCTCGTTTGAATATTAGAGATGTTTTTTGGGAAGAGAGAAAAAAAAAATGATAGAGACTAAACTTGCAAATTATTGGAAGATTGAGAAAAAAGTACAATAAGGACTAGTAGTGCAAAAAATAGGAGGGGGAGCATGGTGCTTCCGGGTATAATGGATAAATTGCCCCCTTAGGTTTATTAAAGACTACCGTATGACGATGTTAGGGAAAAATTAGCGTTCATATCCCAATCTTTGGGCTCATCATCAATTTTACCCTATTGATTTTCGGTTAGCCAATTTTGTCTTTACTGTTTGAAATTTTTGTCAATTCTATCCAATTGGTCCAATTTTCATTAAACTTAACGAATTTTTATTAGTTTTTAACCAAAAATACCACGATAATTTCAAAAAATTATAAAAATAACCTTAAAAATATAAAAATAACAAAATAGTCCCTTTTTATTCATTTCTCTATTTAATTTTATTTCCTTTTTTACTTTTCACAACCATCAAAATATACTATATGATCTTTAAAAAAATAATTATTTGTTTTCAAAATCTATTTTTCATGTGCAACACATGTGATTTGGGTTGAGGGGTAATTTTATCATTTTAAATTTTTAAAAAATTTTAATCTTATTTTTTTATTCGTTATTTTTTAAGATTATATTTCTTATATTTCATGACTTGTATATATTGATACTAGTATAATTATTAAATTTCAATAATTAATTTACCTTTTTATTTCATAGATTACAAAAAAATTAACACAAAGAAAATGAGGAAGAAAAATCAATAATTATTTAGTTCGTTGTAATAAAAATAATATAAAAATTAGACAATCATTGAAACATGAAAAGGTGCTAATTTAATTAGTCCACAAAGATGCATTTCTATAAATTTGGTTAACACTATTTTTATTCTTTTTTAATCAATTTTATTTTTCGCCAATTGGCGGTTACTAAACTACATAAGCAATTATTGAATTTCATAAAAAAGATAAACATGTGTATTTTTTAGCAAAATAATTACTAAATTATTCTACATGTCTTGTATTATTTTTATTACAAAGAACAAATTAATCATTTTATGCTAGATCAAGTAAAATTTATGTTTCATAACTTACCTATGAAATAGAGGAAGTTAAGGAGAAAAGACTTGTCTTTACAGTTTTTTTAAGGTTTTTTTTTTGCTTTTTTTTTTAGAATGATAAACTATTAATTTTCATGTTTATTTCAACTTAAGTTTTTCTTTCTCATTTTCTTTATGTTAAAGTTTTTAAAATCTATGAAATAAAACGGTAAATTAATTATTAAAAGTTAATAATTATTCTTGTACCAATATATACAAGTCAAGAAATATAAGAAAAAGAATCTAAAAAAAAGACGAATAAAAAAAGAAATTAAAATTTAAAAAATTAAAATGACAAAATTATCCCTCAATCCAAATAACATGTGTTGCACATGAAAAATAGACTTTGAAAATAAATTATTATTTTTCTTAAAGATCATATAATATATTTTGATAGTTATGAAAAGTAATAAAGAGAAATACAATGAAACCCCCCTTATAACTCCTAGTGAGAATTGAACCATGGTCTATTATCAGGAAAGATAGTAACATAATCACTAGGCTGTTGTTCAATTTTCTGGACGATGTAAGTTTTACCTATGAGCCAGAATATGGGAAAGACTATGCCTTAGAGCTTACCTTCAATATCATTTTGGCAAGGCCGAAATACAACAGCACTTACAGTATGCTTCGAGTTGACACTGATGGTAACGCAAGGATATATACTTACTACGAAAATGTGGATTGGGGTGCATGGGAGATAACTTTCGTGGTGATGGAGAGGGATAGCCCATGGACAACCGAGTGTCAGATGCAAAGCAGGAGGGCCCAATGTTAAATACTATAAAGTTGATGGAGTAGAACACCTACACAAGTACTTATAACGAAGGAATGGGGCCAGTGGGTCTAGCACAATGCAAGGATCAGTGCAGTAAAGACTGCAAGTGTGTGGGCTTCTTCTATCGGCCTGAGTCTTCCAAATGTTTGTTAGTGCCTGACTTGGGTACTTTGGTTAAGGTCCCCCAACTCCACTCATGCTGGCTATATCAAGATTTCCAAATAGATTGCTGACGTCTGTTTTTGTTTTGCATCATTTGCACCACTTTTCCAGTAACATTTGTCCCTCTTTACTTGGAACGGAAAATTAAATAATTCTTTTTTGTCAATGTAATAATGCTGACTGCAGCGAATAAAACCACCGAAACTGCTTCCCTAATTTACAACAGTTAATCTATACAACAATGATCTCTTCTCCAAAGATCAGAAAAGCATATCTTCAGTCAACTTCTCCTGCAGTTTTAGGCTCCTAAACACTAATAGATTACCTCACGCAGCTTCAGTTGATTGGCTACAGATAAACTACTGGCACCAAACTTGACTGTTTTGAGCATCATCTTCAAATAAAATCAAATTGCGGCTTCTTTTTTACAGAATTAGGGCGTTGGTTTTGGGGTGCAATACTAGATAGAGCTTGTTGCCGATGGATTGCACTTGTAATGTATTCCTTCAGGGGTGGAAGTGATGGTTTCTCTTCAGTTTGATTTGCTTTTCCTCGTATAATCTATCATATCAGAGGAAAAAGATAGGTTTTTCAAGAACCATAAAGAATAATGGAGCTGATGCAGATTAGAGTTCACTGAAATTATCCTACCTTTGAAGCCCAACGTCGCTCTGCCTGCTGACATACATCACGAATATCACGACCTGACATGCTGAATTACAAGAGCAGTCAACACAGTTAAATAGCAAACATCCTGAAATAACAACAAATTTTTCTGTCGATGCGTCAAACTATCTCAATAAACCCCAGAAAATCTCCACAACTAAGATTTAACTTATATGCTTTATATCAATCCACAATGCTGAAACTATGTAAAGGTAGAGATGAAATTTCTAATTTTATATGGCAGGCCCCTACATGATACAATTTTGTCTAGGGTGCAACTGTACCAAAACACAATGCTGCTAACACAACTCTCTACCTAGGAGTTCTCTGCACAATATATCATACAATAATAAAAGAATCTTTGTTCGAATGGTGTCAAAGTAGGTGTTATATTATCATGAAAATGTATAAGAACTTACTTTCCAGTAACAGTAGCAAATTCAGCTAGTTCAGATTTTGTCAAGTGCTTGGCATACTGAGCGGCGATTTCACAACGTGTGGGTTCATCCGGTAGGCCAAAATATATCATACAATCAAATCGACTGCAACAGAATGGCCAGGTCATCAGTTTGACAGAATATTCAAGTCCCTTTGCTGAGATAAACAAGTATAAAGATACCTTATCAAAGCAGGGTCAAGATCTTCTTTTCTATTTGTTGCAGCAACCACGACTACTTTCTTATCCTGCTCAAATCCATCAATCTAAAAAAACCAAAGACAAAAACATCATGAAAAAAAGAACTAACTCCAATAGTGTAAAATTCAAGTGACACCACCAGCTACTGCTTTCTCAACAAGTGGGTAGTTTAATAAGTTCTGAGGATACCCAAAAATGAAATCGGAAGATTTTCAAAAGAATAACAAGGGATAAAGCCCCAACTAAAACATTGTTAAGTTACTAAACATCTAATGAAGTGCATGCAAAAGAATAAAAGTCAAAACTCAGATCAGTAAAATAGTTAAATCGCGTGCTTTAGTTTTGATAGTCGATTCACATGGAACTACTGAAATGGACACTGGATTCAAGGAATCCTGGGTTCACCTGACGCAGTAGAACTGATAGAACTCTACGAGTTGCTTCATGTGTCTCACCATCACGAGCAATTGCAAAAGAATCAACCTAAGAACCAAAAGACAAACCAAAAGCCAAAGATGTAACTTGCGCAAAAAAAAAGCATGACTGAAATAGCCCTAACATTCTTTTGACCAAAATTACCTCATCTAGGAAAATTATTGCCCCATTAGGCAGCTCATTGGCAAGGTTAAACACCTTTCCAAGTAGACGCTCGCTTTCCCCAAAATATTTTGACATGATCACTTCAAGCGGCACATGCACCAAGGGAACTCCCTGGTCATGTAGAAGAGTACAATTCTTTCAGAGAATTTTCAATATAATAAAAACTGTGCATATGAAAGATAGCTACAAAATCAATGGGGAAAAGGACCAATAGACAGCTTGCAGGAGAAAATTCTTATATATCACATTCAACAAACCACAAAATGAAAATTGAAATGGTGAAGAAAACTCATCAATGATATACTAAAAGAGCAAAGCAAAGTTATCTAAAAAGGCCACAGAAAATGGAAACTGGGACTACCGCTTGATTAGCAATTACACGAGCACAAGATGTCTTCCCAGTACCTGAACATGAACACAGTAAATGAGTAACCACATTCAGAAACAGTTATACCAAAGTGAGGTCTGGAAAATCATAACTGCTTTTTGAATCTCTTAATTCAAGATGAACCAAAGTGCCCAAAAAAAAAAAAAAAAAAAAAAGAAATTCTAGAAATATTTCTTGTAAGAGTAGAGACCTGGTGGGCCTTCAAAAAGTACGGCTCTAGGCCTATTGCTCTCAAATTTAGAGCGAGTTCCACGAGCAATATCATCATACACTTCAGGACATTGGATCACTAGCAAAATTGTATCTTCAATTTCCCTTCAAAACACAAAACAGTGCTAAGACTTGTATAAGCTAAGAGGACACAAAAGCATGCACAATAAATAAATTATGAAAAAAAGCCCTTGTCTGCTTATCACAGATATTCCTCCTTTTAGCCGATCAATGCCTTTTACTACTTTTTTTTCCCTATGTAATCTATAATCTATTTGCTGCAATGTGTTAATTGACCTTGCTTCTGGTCTAAGAAAGCAAGTTAAATGCTCTTTATCATAATAAGGGTCCACAGAATCTATATATGATTACAAGATATCAGGATGACAAGGGTTTAAAAAGCGGAACAGTGGGAAAAATTCTGCTCACTGACATACCGTTTCTGTTCCTCATACCCAGCAATGTTGTCCCATGTGATATTACATATTGATGGATCAATATTAGAATTAGAAAGCCCAAAAATCCTCACTCCCATAGCTTCTAAACTGGCAATGGTTCTGTCGATTTTAGGAGCATGTGTGACATCACTTTTTGGTCTTGCTTCCAAAGTTTTCTGTTGTCCAGCTACTTGCAGAACAGAAGCCAAAGCATCAAGCTCGTCAGGAGTTAAAATTCCTACCTTGATGAACTCAATTTCCTGCATATAGCAGATTTTATAATGATGGAGGGAAGACAAACTCAAAGAGTAACTTAAGTGCAACAAAACAACATGGGATGGATTCAAGGTATTCTTTGAAATATATAGTAAGTAGGGAAATGAACTAACAGCTTTATTAGAACCAACTAGAGGCCGGAACATAAGAATACAGAGATCCTCCTTCGAGCTATCTTTTGCTTCTGGATGACTTTGACCAGGTTCAGTTTTTGGATAGCTAAGTGTTAATTGCCAAGCCACGCCACTGAAATGGGGTAATTGTAGCGGATTATGACCTCAATAGAGAGGATTGAAGAGTTTTTACATCGACAATGAAATTCCAAGATTACTTTTTAACATAGAAAAATGGAAAGAAAGATTAATCAGTCACATTATATGATCAATACGCAATAAAAGCATACTAATTCTTATAAACCTGTCCCAAGCCCGTAACAACATTGCTGTTCCAGAAGCACCGTCATCAACCTTGACCCCAAGATTTGAGACAAGGTTTGCAATCAACAATGGAATTTCACAAGCAGGAGGAACTTGGAACCTAACTGCGATCTGTCGAGAAACCATAAAGTTGTTAAAATATCATTGCAAGGACACTTTATTCTGTAGAAATAAAAACTTTGATTCAAAGAATTAAAGACACCAAAATGCAGCATCCATCATGCCACACAACACAATAATCAATTACGACAGGCGACTTCAAACACTAATCTACCCACAAACTAGGTGATAGTATTACACACCTTTTCCCCCTTGATGCTTACAACAAATTGAGGATAAGAACCATATTGCATTCCTTTGTTCTTAAGCAGCTCTTCAATTCGACTCCTTAATTCCTTCGCAGTTTTCTCGAGATCACTATAGCTTGGAGTTGGGGAAGAAACTGGAGGCGACGGAGTCTTGGGGAGATCCTGCAAAACAGTGAAGCCATAACAAATTAATAGATGAATATAGCATCTCATAAAATATGCCATTGTTCGAAGCCACTCCATTTTAAAAGAACATTGTTCCCTCACAATAAATAACCAACAGAACCAATGTAATCCACCATACAAGCACACCCATAAATCCCCACCAAATAAAGAGATGACAGAACACCTAGGGAGAAAGAGTAACTACTGGCGAAATGACATTACTGAAGATGAGTTCTTTTAACTTAATGCAGTAATCACCTCTGCTGCATCTGCAAATGCCACATCTACGAACCCGAATCCAAGCAATCCAGCCAAGATAGCGGGAATGTACACTTGAGATCTTGATGAAAACCCATCTGATGTATTGTTTACTCCACCATGCTGAATATGACCTACACGTGACAATCAAACAATTGATGCTGATACTTTTTCTCTAATTACACCTCGATTTAAAAATTTCCATTCATTGGCGATCTAAAACCGAAACAAAAACAAAAGTGAAACTTATATGAATTGGATTGCAAAACCCAACCCAAAAAGATAAAGAGAGTGATAGTCGATTCTCTATGATCCAGCGGCCCGAAAATTATAAAAATTGATATCCATAATCAGGCTATGCACTAAAGAGAGAGTTGTGGATCGGTGCGGTTGATCTTATCGAAATAAACCATAATTAATCCATTAAAACGAAACGAAATCTTCCAACCATAGTCACCCATTCTTTTCTCATTGAAAAATTAACAAACATTAGAGTGGAATTAACTTCTGGCAACAACAATTCTAGTAGCAGCCTAACGTAAAAAAATCAAAACGCAGTCCACTAATAGCAACTCAACAAACCAATAATAACTCAAACAAACTAGCAATCAAAGGCGAAATTGACCTAAAGAACCAGACAAAAGGAACAAAACTTACGATTGAAGAGAGGAAGCGGGGGAATTCGAGGAGATTCGCAAGGCCGGAGAGGAGAGGAAGCAGAGGAAGCTAGGGCTTTGGAGCGGACGGCGGAGCGGCAGGTGGCGACTGCGGCGGAAAGACGCCTCACCGTCGCCATGGCGGTGACGATAATTAATCGGAAACTAGAATTAACCAAAAAAAAAAGAAAAAGAAAAAGCTCACGCACTACAATTGGACTTCATCTGCTGCCGCCGTTATTCTTCGCACACACAAGTGTAGACTCCAGTCACAGGGGCTTTCCGTTTCGTGGCGCGCAAGCCGCAAATTCTCTCGAATTTAAACCGTTGTTTTTAATGAGAAAAAGGAGCTTTGAAATTTCTGAGAAAAATATCCTTCCGTCGATCACAAGATAGTTGATGCCTTTTCTTTTCCCGTCGGTTTCTTCCTCCTTTTGTTTAAGTAGTTTTTTTTTTCCCCTTCCTTTTTTTAGTAAAATATTTCACCCAAATAATTTTTTTAAAAAAAATACTCATTTAGTTCATAAAAGGGTATTTTAGTCATTCCATACTTAATACATATCTTTAGTTTTGAAAAAACCTATTACAATAAAACCTCCATATATTAACACATTTGGACCTCCAAAAATTTAGTAATTTATAGAATTTCTCGATAATAATAGTTTTTAATTTATCAATAAACTAATATTTTATTAATTTAAAGAGTTTTTTGAATCCTATAATATAAGTAAGAAAATACGAAACTTTAATATTTATTACATCAATACAAATTCGTTTCAGCACTAACCATAACATTATAAATTTTCTAATAAAACAAAAACATAATAACTGCAACACAAACAAAAATACTTAAATCAAAATCTAAGTTAATTTTCAAATCTAATTTATCATTTTAGCTATTTATTAATTTATGAAATTGTGAGGACCTACATTTATATGGAAAATTCTTTAAAAATTATTATCTTATAAATTAATCGATTCATTTTTTGTATTGGTCCCGATTTGGGACTGAAGAAAAATAGTATTTAACAGAGAATTAATATATGATTAATTTAGGGAGGCTTTACTGTATGGTGATTTCATTTCACCACCCCCAAACACAAAATTCTCTCTGCCACTGATCCTCTGTAATATTATATCTATGCACTCCTCAAAAAAAAAACCTTATCATTTTCATTGAAACTCCAAAAAATAAAAATTAGAAAAAATGATGGAGACACAGTACTTTGTGAATGTTTTCGTTCTGTGCAAATTGCATTAGCAATTGCCCGCACAACGCATGGATTTTTTCTCTTTGTTTTTGGTTATAAAACACAATTTCATTTCTAATTAAAAAAGAAAAAAACCATGTAAATAGTAGAAGATGAGATTTGAAAGTTTTGAAACCTTGCCAAGGTCACCTCCTGGTTTTACCACTTGGACAAGCCTTCCCCGTCTAGTGGTGTTTGTTTAAAGTAAAAACCTGCGAATCACTTGCATTCATGCGCGACAGTTGACAATTATATATTTCATCTAAACTTGATGAATCCGACACGTAAAGCCTCGTGATTTGGTAACGCAGGAACTTGCATCTTAGTCAATGCCGCTATGCATGTTCATTGGAGTATTAACTTCTACTACCACACGGCTGAGACTGATGTACACCACACTCTTAGTGGAATAATTATTATTATCATCCTATTCTGGCGTAGGCTGCAAATTTTACTCATTCCAACAATCTAAATAATTGTATTCCCATTTCATTAATCATGCCCAAAAAGTCAGCTTAATTTGGTTATGGATGATCCTTGCACAACATATCAGAATCCAAACAGTAGAAATTCTTCTAAATACTTTTTGCATCAATAATACTTACAACTGGAATCAATCAAAGACAAGCATGCCGCTTTCCAAGAGTGAGATGGTCGATTCTTGTTTGGATAGTATTAAGAACATCTGTGGGCTGCTAGACAGAATCGAAACATGGGGTCTGGACGATCCAAGTTACTCATCAAAAGCAGATCACGCACTGGTGATCTGGATTCAACTCTTTGCTCAAAGCATGATCGCCTTTTTAAAAGCTCTTTTGTCTTACACTTCCGGTTGGAGGCGTCATGACACAGCTCGATATCTGGCATCCTTGCTAGCTGACATTGAGGATGCACTGAGGTATAAAGAGGCAAAACTTGAGGCCGATTGCGCATCAGGGGAAACATGGTGTTGGTCTACAAAAAGTGACAGGATCCAGAAAATACGCAAGTTCATTTGTAGCATCAGTGAGGAAGTCGGGGATGCAAGTGATGCCCTGGCGAAAGCAGATCACCGTCCCATGAAACATCCTTTTGCTTTTGATGAGTTTGTTGCCTCTGTTCAAGCATATTTGGAGTCACTTCCCGCTCAACTGAATGCCTACGTCTGCCCTGGGCTTAGGCTTAATGTCATACAGTATAACCGTGAACCTTATCTCAGGGAATCTGCACCCTATCAAGTCTGGCCCTCTTCAAAAGTGAATGAAACTGTCGCTGTCGTGGTAAGAAACTTAGAAATCCTAAGACATTTAATTGCCTGTTTTGCAAGATGCTGCTTTGATGACAGGGAAAAGTTGTATCCTGTCCTGAATCGTGCTGGAGCTTTGGTTTTCAGCATAGCACATTTGTCTTGGGCATCTGTACAGGATCGAGATGCCGATTTATTTATAAATTCCCTGTTTTCTACTCTTTCTGATCTCTCAGATAAGATTTCAAATCATAATCTAGAGGTTAATGAGATCTACCTTAAAGTTCTAGAAGGACATGAGGACCTCCTCAAGGCTGCAAAACCATCCCCGGGATCAATCGGCTCTCCAATGGTTGATAAAGATATGACCAACTGTTTCCTCAGTTTCATATTATCTGCTAATGAACGAGCCGATCTCATGTATTCCATCCTGAAATTTCCATTAATAGATATCACAGATACACCAGAAGATTGCAGAGACCACCTGATTGAACTGTCCTTGAAGCGTGGAATTGCAGCTGTCAAGAAAGCTATCTGTCTGGATCAGTCAATTTGGGATGATGAAATGCCAAATGGTCCGGTTACGGCAACAAATTCTTGGTTGAAAATGAAGCTCATCAGGGCTGAAATTTTTCTTCAGGCGCTAAACAATCACAAGGCTGACTTGGTGCTCTCTGTTGGCAATCAAATTTCTGCTGTTGCTGCTGTTAGCAAGGCCTTGAGATTACTTGCTAAATTCTACAGAGCACCAGACAGTTTCCTGGAAGATTCGAAGAGATTGATACTATCACTTATTGAAGACGCCATCAGAGAGCCAGTATCTATTTATTACTCAAACCAGACAGGAAGCACCATAGAAGATATCATATCCGAAACAAGTGTTGCGGTTTTTGAGATTTTCAAGGCTGAGGCTACCTTGATGGTGCTAATTGATCATGAAGCCAGCTTGGCATTTCTTGCTAGTCATCGAATTGAATCACTCCATAAGGTATTGAATCTGTTAAGAGCATTGCTCTCAAATCTACTGAAGGTGAACCTGGAGGATGGAAATTTGTCAATATCTCTCAGAGCTCTGGCTAGTGAGGCTGCATTTTTTGTTTGCTCTTTTGGTCACCAAAGAGCGGAAGAGAATACAAACCTAATAATGAACCTTTTGCTTCCATGTTTGCCAGAGATGAATGAGCTCAATATGGCAGATACCACACAATTATATCAGCCAAGTCCTTGGTCATTGTTCTCAAATTCCCCAAAGAGCAGCGGGTTTGGCTTTCTTGGTCTTCTCTTGGGAGAACTGAGGGGTATTTTGAACAGAAAGCCAGACATTATTGCTGTCATGCAAGACCAAGCCCAAGTGTTTATGAAGGAACTACAGTTGGCAATGTCTCAACTCCAAGATGTTGCCGAGCAACTCGATGACAACACTGATCTCGGAAGACGTCTCATGTGCCTCATATATGAGGCAGAATATATCATTGATCTGTCAGTAACTGGAGGAGTCCCTATGTGGCAGCACCAGTTGGGTTTCCTGAACCTTGTTCTGGAGACAAGATTTATCAAGGCTCAAGTCTTAGAGTTGTATGAAAAGAAGAAGGTGGATTTTGCAGCCGCGAATGTTGAAGTGGTTCTGCAGGATATGTCAGTGGAAGATACCACCTCTCTGAAAATTGAGGAGGTTGATGATCAGGCTCGAGGTAAAATTAAACTTTCACCAAAAGATGATGAAGTCATAGTAGGGGTTGATGATCAGGCTCAGATTATAATCAATCAACTTAAGAGTAGAAGACAGCAGCTAGATATTGTCTCAATTGTTGGAATGCCAGGATTAGGCAAGACAACTCTAGCTAGAAAAGTGTATGGTGATGTTGCAGTTGGGTATCACTTTGAGATTCGAGGTTGGTGCTCCGTGTCACAAGTTTATCGAAAAAGAGAGCTGATACTTGAAATTTTGGGTAGTTTTGTTGAGCTCACTGACAAAATTATGAAAATGGATGATGGGGACTTATCAACAACTTTGTATCAAGCACTGAAGAAAAGAAGGTTCCTCATTGTGATGGATGATGTGTGGACGATAGAGCCATGGAACGACCTAAAATGCATACTTCCAGATGATGGAAAAGGTAGTAGAGTTTTGTTTACGACCCGCCTTAGTGATGTGCCATTGCAAGGGAACCCTACCAGGGAACCTCATCAACTTCGCCTTCTCACTGATGATGAGAGTTGGATGTTATTGCTAGATAGGGTGTTTCAAGGTGGAAGCTGTCCTGAGGAGCTGTTAAAAGTTGCTAGACAAATCGCCACTGCATGTAAGGGACTTCCACTTGCAATTGTTGTTGTGGCTGGTCTTCTTAGGGGAAGAATCGGGGGAAAAGGATGTTGGAATGAAATTGCTGGAAGCTTAAGATCTCACCTTCGTGATGATCCAAATCCAAATGAGCAATTCATGCACATCCTAGAAAAGAGTTACAATCACTTACCATGTTACCTAAGACCTTGCTTTCTTTATATGGGAGCATTTTTGGAGGACACAGAGATTTCAGTCCAAAAACTGAAACTTTATTGGAAAGCAGAAGGATTTGTATCAAAAGCTGAATCCGAGAGCTTAGAAGAAACTGCAGAGAAGTACATGGCGGAGTTAATAGGACGAAGTTTGGTAATGGAAACTAAGAGAAGATCCAAGGGAGGAACCAAAGCATGTCGAATGCATGACATGGTACGTGATCTCTGCCTTGAAAAAGCTAGGTCAGAAAATTTCATGCACCTAGTAGTATCTGGAGATGACAAGGATGGTTCCAAAAAGTATAGCCATCTTTTCAATGGCACACTTGTGCAATATCGGCTTTGTGTTCATTCGATAAAAGAGGCATTTGTGGGTTCATTACCTGTTGCTGCACATGCTCATTCTCTGCTGCTCCTTCCCATTGATAATAGACAAGATCTGGGAGGATCCTATGACTTCGCCTTCATTGTGCACAAATTTAAACTCCTTCGAATGTTGGATTTGGAGTCGATCACTTTCCGTGGAACCAACTTCCCCACAGAGATCGAGTTGATGATTCGACTTAGGTACCTAGCAATCAGAGGGAAGATGAGTGAGGTTCCTTCATCAATAGCCAAACTGTGGAATTTGGAGACACTTATTGTGAGGGGAACGCATGGAGAAATTGCATTACCAGCTGCACTCTGGACCATGGAAAGGTTGAGTCAGGTGCAAGTACTTTCTCGTGCATCTTTCACTTTGCCAGGTAATGATGAATCTACGGTGTCAGCAAATCTGTCCGTACTTTCTTCAGCAGCTCTTCCTTATGGAAAAGACACTGAAAAGCTGTTGAGATTACTAGTTGGACTTAAGAAATTGAGATGCATCTTCTTCGAAAATTGGGATATCTCAAGGAAATGCAATCTGTTTCCTGGAATGGACTTTATGACACAACTTGAGTCACTTAAAATCTTCTACTACGGTAGGATTCTGTTTCCATGTGAGTTCAACTTCCCCATAAATCTCAAGAAATTGACTCTGTCCAAATTTCGCCTACCATGGGAATATATCTCGGCTATTAGGGAACTACCCAATCTAGAGGTTCTCAAATTACTAAGCAGGGCCTTCGAGGGGGAAACATGGGACCTGGAAGAAGGAGATGAGTTTCCTAACCTGAAATTCTTTATGCTAGACGGTTTGAACCTTACAACCTGGAGTGCCTTGAGCGATAACTTTCCACAGCTTGAGCGACTGGTTTTGCGCAGCTGTAAGAAACTTGAGGAGATCCCTTCCAGTTTCGGTGAGATCAGCACTTTACAGATGATCGAGGTGCATTGGTGCAGCGAATCTTCTGCAAAATCTGTGGGGACAATACATGACCAGCAGCTGGACTATGGAAATGCAGGCTTCAAAGTGATGATAAGTCCCCCACATTGGGATTTCAGAGCATCTTCTAAGTGACTTGGTATGTTTTCATTGAAAAGTAGGACAATTGTTATGCCATATGTGCACTTCATGTTTTCATCGTTCCCAAACAACAGTCACTGTTTAAGTACTTTGTTTTTGGTACTGTTTATGTAACTTTGAACCTTCGAGAACCCAATGTTATAGCAGAAATGTCCCAGGTTGGTCTATTTTGCGAACGAAAAATGGTAGCACAAATTATTCAAGTTGTTGTTCTTGAAAATAGTCAATTATTTTGACAATGGGACATAGGTCTGGGTGAAACTGGGCTACAGAAGGTTCTCTTTTATAGACTGTTAATTGCTATATCGCAAATGAGGTGATAAAAAATTATAAAGAATCAATTGGGATTCAAAATAACACACATATAAACACAACAAGGGAATCGCAGCCAAGGGTTTTATATATTGACTACCCAATCAAAGGTTTCTCCAGCAACCTCAATGCCCTAAAAATATGCACCCTGAACCTGAAAATTTACAGAAACCAGCCGTTACAGTGGCTTACGAAATTATTTAAGTTGTGCATTGACTATTCTCAAGCCAACTGTTTTAGAATGCTTTTGAGACCCATGAATATGGAGGCAAACCACTAAGAAGGAGCCTAAGGTGACCGTTAAAGGAAGGGAGGAGTGCCGAGCTTCTTCTCATGTCACCATCAACAATTGTATCACACCTCATTCAAACTCAACCAACAGGCTTACCTGCATACTTATGCCTAGGGACTCAGCTACTCCGCTATGCTTTGATACAAATGTGAGAAAATCTAATTCCAGACATCCAAATTTGCCTGTAGACTGAGGGAAATTTATGTACTAAGAGCCAAGTGTAAACCACATTAAATAGTTCATTTTGTACAACCATAGAACATATAAGAAAGGCTTTCCATAACTCAAGAGGCAGTTCCAAGCTAATATTCTGACAGTTAAACAAGCCAGATGCACCAAGCTCATCCATATTAACATCTTGGGGCTTGAAATGCTGAACAAACAGAATTAACTGCTATCCTGTATCTTAAAGAACGGCATATTCACGACCAAAAATGAAATCCTTCTAAAACCGTTCAATAGGAAAACCTTCCATATATGTTAGAACAACAAACAACAACAACAACGACAAAAAAAAAAAAAAAAAACAAAAACAAAAACAAAAACAAAAGCCAATAAACAAAAGCTGTTTACTCTGGAAAAAAAAAACTAAAATAAGAATCACAGGGCTACAATTAGGAATACAACATCTTACGCTCTTAACTCTGCTTTCGTTTTAAGAATGGAACTTCTATTGGCTCTGTTTGGTTGTATTGAATTGGGACCAAGAATTGGAATTAGAGCTCTTTAATTCCAATTCTTGTATTTGGTCGTTAAAAATAGAGGTCCAAGAATTGGAATTATAATTCAAGATAAGCCTCAATTCTTTATTTTCAATTCTTTTGTGGGAGCAAATAATTAGAATCCAAATTCAAGGAATTAAAAAAAATACGCGGGTCATAATTGGGTCGTTTCCGGGTTATAACCTAAACGGGTCACCCTCTCAATTTTTGTCTTTTGGTTTTTTTTTATATATATATTTTTTATTTTAATTTTATTGTTTTTCAGCTTTTTTCTTTTTTTTTTTTGCTTTCATCGCTTTTTTCTTTTCTTTGTTTTTCTTTTTTTTTGGACTATTTGTCTCATTATTATTATTATTATTATTATTATTATTATTATTATTATTATTGTCATATATATATCATTTTAATAATTATCAATGAAATCAATCTAAAATTAACATGGTATCTTTTTTACAAAAAAATCAAAAGTATAGCTGTACCCAAAAAAAAATTAATAACTAAATATTTTAGTTTTGGGTTAAATTTTTATTATATTATGACATAGTAAACAACATACCATTTTCAATTTTTTTTATAGAAATTGTTCCATGTATACACCTATATTATAATACATATATATATATATATTAAACTATTCATGGCATCTTTTCACCAAAAATTATGTAAGTTGAGTTTTAAGTATCTATTATTTCATAGGAAAATGATATATTTAGTGAAAAAAAATAGTTAAAAAAAGATAGTGAGTGATGTAGCTTATTCTTGGCCCCTAATTTTTTGCCACTTTCTCATTAAAATTTTATCTTGCTCTAAAGAATTATATTTTTACCCTTTATTAATAAATACACATATTTAGTGAGGATGGTGTATTTGTCTTTTCATTAGTCACTATAATTTTTCACTGTAATTAGTCACTATCTCTATCATTGCTCTATTTCATATATAATTATATACTAGAATAAAAATATTTAAGCATATATTATATACTAATGTTAATCTATGTATAAATGAACCTCAATATTCATAAACTGAATTTACAATGTTATATAATAAATTTTTTTAAATTTTTGATATAAATCAAAACATAAAAAATTAAAAATTTTGAAAAATAATAAAAGAGAGGAAAACAAGGATGTTTTACGTGTTACTTGTTTGTGTATTAAGTGAGAATTTTAAGTATAATATTAATAATTCTTATACATAATAATATTTCTTTTGTTTCCAACAAAAATGTGTGTATATAATATTACAAAATGATATAGCAAATTAATTAAAAATAATCATTTATTTTAACAAAAAAAAAGTAAAAATTGTATTAGCCAAACAACCACAAAGTAGTCAAATATACATGTATATAATGAATTTATTTATTTTTTATGTTATGCATATCTATAATAAAATAAGTTTTTTTTTTATAGTTTTTGACAAGAAGTATAAATTGTACTAGTATTAGTTATCCAATAACAAATTAATTTCAATTCTAAAGTATTCAAATTTTTATGCATCCAAACACAAGAATTGAAATTAGAACCTTAATTCTTGTAAATTTTCAAGATTTCCCAAACAAAGGAATTGAGATTGAATTATAATATTAATATCTCATTTTCAATTTAATAATATTATAATTCTAATTCAATTGCAATTCTATCGAAACGGAGCCTTATGTGGGTTTGAGAATATGGGACAATACCGATTGAGCAATGAGCAGTTGGTGGAGTTGTGGTGGTAGGGTTGATTTGAGCACTGCCGGCTATAGCAGCGGCGGCGATCTGATGCAGTCCGGCGACCAGCTTGTAAGTTGTTTCATAATTTGACGACGCTTAATGACTGCAATTCCGATTACCATTTGGATTTGGATAATACTGTATGTTATTGGTGACTACAAGCAGTTACAAGTGCTAATCTTTTTTCTGAACTTTCGTACTATAAACACCATCATTTATATTATTCTTGTACATAAATGAATTTGTAAATTTATCCCAATAAATATTTAGTGTGCGCCAACAACTACTCTTTCCGTCCGCAAATATGCATAGTGAATTGTGCTAACTTTTATTAAATCATAATAAAATTAGTATAAATCTCAAAATTTAAATGTGCTCTTTTTTTTAGGACAGAGATATTGATATCGAATCGACATATGAATAAATAATACTCCCTCCGTCCCATAATTATTGTCCACTTTGCCCAAAAAATTTTGTCTCAAAATTATTGTCCAATTTAACTTTTTATGGATCCAGTTACACATTTGTCCTTAGTAAAAAATATTATACATCAAATCTTTGTAGTTAAACAATTACTTATGTAGGGGTATATCTGGTTGTTCAAGGTAAAATATAATTAAGTTTGACCAAAAATAAAATATTTTATTTTAGTAAAATTGGACAATAATTATGGGACGGAGGGAGTCACAAAGTACAATTTGAATTTGGTTTGTGTTACGAAAATATAAAGGCGTGCCAAAGTATATATATTTATTAAGATTATGTAATGCGAAAATCATAAGCTCGTACAACAAGATGGCAATTCGTAACAACTATGTATCTATATACTCAAATGTACAATACAACCAGTCCCATGCCTGTTGCTTGCCATTTTTTTTTTCCCTATATAAATCTCGTCAACGGTTCATAGCACTCTCGATGTATTCCTGGAGGGGTGGAGAATATAGTTTCTCATCCACATTTTCCCTTACTCTTCCTCGTATAACCTATCATTATCATGTGTGCCCATAAGGGAATCATCATGATATACATCCAAGCAAGAACAAAGTTTATTGCTCCTTTTTTTCTAAAATTATTGATCAATTTAGATTTTCATTTTTAGCATAATTTGTACTAAAAATCAAAATTTCAAACAGAACAATCATTTTAGGACTGAAAGAATAAGGTATCATTATTTACCTTTGATGCCCAGTGCCTCTCTGCTTGGAGACACACATCCTTGATATCCCGATCTGCCATCCTAGATTTCCCAATCCACCAAATTCAATCATTAATTTTAGATATAATCTCTCTATCCGAAGGTAATATAGTCTTGGTTTTTGGCGTACTATAATACAATAAACACAACATACATGTCCGTACTCATGGTTGAAATCTTTTAAAGCAACAACAGTTAAACGATCACGAGTTATATCATTTTGATAGTAAATGTGAGGTGTTACTTTCTTAATCTTTAGTTACAATTTAAGTTTTTGGTCACAATCACAACTGTAAAAAAAAAAAAGAAAAAAAAGGGTGGTGTTTGGTCACGTACCAAAGGGGCAAAAAAGAAGTAAAAACTAAAATAAACTTACCCTATTGTAACCCTAGCAAATTCAGCTAGTTCTGACTCCGTCAAGTGCTTGGCATACCGAGCAGCAATGCGCCGGCGGGTCTGTTCATCGGGTAACCCAAAATATACCGAACTCTCAAACCGACTGCAAGGAATATAGTATTACATAATCCAGTCATGAGCATATATAAGTTCGGAAGAAGAAGAAAATTATTCAATTCTTGAATGATTTGAAAATATATTTATTGCTACTTTTCATCTAAGAAATATATAGTATACTTGGTTGAACTATCAGAATAAAGTAAATTATTAAAGTGGACCGGATGAGGAACAAATTATTAAAATTACCTAATTAAAGCAGGGTCAAGGTCTTCTTTCCTATTGGTGGCAGCAACCACAACCACTCTACTGTCCTGCTCAAACCCATCGATCTGCATGCAACAACAACAGGGACACTACGGTTACTTGGTTACATGCAAATTATTATTCGCGTAGAAGATGTATAGAACCTTTTTTTTCACTAGGCGATCAATGTGATATAACTCAACTATCTCTATGATTAACCCAGATTAAATAAGGATTAACTACATCAAACTTTTCATAAAGTTTACAAAAACTAGTAATCACTCAAGATTTCAGGACACACAACCCATGACAGAAGCTAAGAAAATAATGATATAATCAGAAGTTTGCATTAACTGGAGTACTTGTCTACTACCTTCTTTCAAATGTTAAAGTTGTGATAGTTTTTCCAATGTTTTCACAAATTGGTTGACTTTGCCAGCCAATTGGTCAGCAGATGGGCTTTGTTTCTTAGGCGTCTAAAGCATTTGCCTCTTCATTTCAACTAAAATAAAATAAAATCAAACGACGGGACCAAGATTCCCGTATAATCAAGAACAATTAATTTAGCTTAACCTGTCGCAACAAAATTGATAAAATTCTCCGAGTAGTTTCATGCGTCATGCCTTTATTGCGAGAGCCACCGAGAGAATCAACCTGAATGAATTAATGGAGCAAAATGGAAGCTACGGTTTATTGCGGTCATTAATAAATAATTAATGGTCAAATGGAATAGTTGAAGACATTAGGGTTTTTTTTTTAGATTAAGTTTTACCTCATCCAGGAAAATTATCGCACCAGTGGGAAACTCTCTGGCAAGTGAAAAAATCTTTGCCAGTAGTTTTGAAGATTCCCCGAACCATTTTGACATGATAGCTTCAATCGGCACATGCAAAAATGGAATACCCTGGCCATTTGAGTAGAAAAATCAATGCTTATGATCATATTGCTTCTTTTTTTGTTTTTTCAGTATCCCGGAAAAATAAAAGTAGAAAAAGAAAACACAGAAAAAATACTTAATTCTCTCCCGTGAAGACATTCTAGCTAGAAGGGGCCATTAGAAAGGGCAAAATATTTTTTCCTTGACACTTTGGGGTTTATTATATTTTTAAAATTTTTAGAATGTGTGAAAGAAACTTACTGCTTGACTGGCAATTACACGAGCACAAGATGTCTTGCCAGTACCTGAAATCAAAGGGGGAAAAAAGGGGAAATAGAGCAAGCACTCAGCACAATTAATGAACCTATACAAAGAGTGTGAACATTAAGGATTGCGTATTAGTTTTCTGAAAGATGGATTACCTGGTGGGCCTTCAAAAAGCATTGCTTTAGGTCGGTTGGGCTCAAACTTTGTGCGTGTCGAGCGACTAATTTTGTCATACACTTGAGGATGTCGAAGAGCTAGCAATATTGTGTCTTCAATTTCTCTTTTAGATACACAGTACAAAATAAGGAATGAGACCAGCCATCAAGTGAATCTAAATTAGTCCACGATAACTCTTAAATGATGTATGAATAAATAAGCAGAAGCAAGAATTCTCGTTCTGATACGCATACACATAATTTTGAGATATTATAGGTAAAAATACGAGGTAAGGGGAGTAGAAAGACACTTGGGACATACTGTATAATGAAAAACTCAATATATATTCTTGAGACAAAAGGAATAGGCGAAGAAACACACCGTTTTTGCTGATCATAACCAGCGAAAGTGTCCCATGAAATGTCACACTTTGAGGGGCTCGCTTCAGATGATGTAGCAACCCCAGAAACTTTGACCCCCATTTGCTCCAAACTGTCAACGGTTGTCCTCAGTTTTGGTGCACCTGTAATTTTGACAGTAGCAGTACTTTCTGGTTTGGATGCAACAGTTGTTGTCTCTACTTTTTTAGCCGTAAGTCCCGGTAGTTTTGATAGGAGTCCTCCATTAGTAGTTTTCTTTCCTTCTCCAGTGTCTTTTGTTTTTGCCTGATTAGCAGTTCTTTCCACGGCAAGCAGCAGAGAGCGGCCCTCATTGGAAGTTAAATTCTCAAGTCGCACGACATCAATTTCCTGCTCAAAATTAAGGGGTTGAGATGTCAATTTTTAAGAAATGGATGACAAAGTTAATTTGATGAGCAAAAAATATAGACAATAATAATAAGATAAATAGAATACGGAATGAAAGCACGGGTCCTAATTAATTGATGTAAAATAAATGTAGTAGAAAAACGAGTAACCTTGTTGTCCTTGACAGCTACCACAGCCAAATGAGGATAAGACTCAACTCCCATTCCCTTGCTCCGAAGCAACTGTTCCACTTTCAGCTTTACATTCTGCAGCTCAGTATCAGCCGCACTACTTTTTTGGGGAGAAGCAGGTGGTGATTTCGAATTAGGTTTGGAATTACGACGCTGCAAAAGAAAAGGAAAAAGTGAACCCCGCGGGAATCATCGTTCATATTAAAAGAAACCTTTCAAGTTTCAAGTCAATACTACTACTACAACGCAGGCAGTAATGAATGAATCACCTTAAAAGCCCAGAAGATGGGCAAAGCGACGCCGGTCAAACCAGCGCCAACCAATCCTAAAGCTGGGAGTAAAGGCTGCAACTGTGGTAATGTGATACCCTTACTATTCCCACGGCGCTCCGACTCCGACCCTGATCCTCCTCCTTCGTCGTAATCAAGTTACACAATATTATTATTATTATTAGAAGTAGTACTACATTCATCATAATAATTCAACCATATTACTATAAAACTACACTATAGTTGAATTTATGGCACGGTGTAAATCCAAAAAATAGCCAACTAGCTAATCATCAAGAACATGTAATTTATAATGCTAATTTAATATTTTTAACTTGAGTAAATACACAACAACTAACTTATAGTCAGTTAGCAACTTAAACACAATAAACTTTTTAGTCATCAGCGCTACTTAACGAGTCAGATAGTAACTTTTTGTCTGTTCTGAATTTGTTGACCATTAGAATTTTAGGTAATCCTCAATATAAACTTGGAAAATCAATTTTCAATTAAAACTTCTAACACTAACCCCAATTCCTAATCCCGAATTGTTCCCGGGAAGCATCTTCAAAAAGGTTCTTCTGGGCAAAGAATTATAAATAAAATATTCGAAGAAGTAACGACAATTAAAAAGGGGTTATTAAAGCTTACGAAGAGAGGAGCTGGAGAGCCGCTGATGGTTTCCAGGACCTTCCGAAATCATGAAAGCAGCAGTAGTAGAAGAAGAGTTCCTAGAATCGTTAACCTCCCGGCGATGGTTTGGCGCCGCCGGGCCTGATAAACGCCACGTCCTCGTAGAAGTAGGCATCACCAATCGTCGCCCGAAAACAAGGATAAATCTGTAAATACTGGAGTTGGTATAATTTTTAGTGATTAAAGAACAAATCAAAGAGAAGAGACAGGAGGGTTCAGGGTTCAAATTCAGAGGCTTTAAGTCGATAATTCCGGGGAAGAAAATTGAGGACTGCTGGGAATTATTATTAGTGTGAAAAAATTAATTTCATCACATTAATAATAATAATTCCTTGATTAATTTAACCATGGACGTTTCTTCATCATATATTTAAAACTTATACTAATAAAAAAAAAAGGAATAATAAGTTAATACTACTACAAATTACTAATCCAAAGTTCCAATCCCTCAGCTTTAAACTATCCGCTGAATTTCACCGCACCGACTCCGCCAGTGTTTTGTACAGTATATGGAATTTGTTCATCACCTCTTCCTTGCTTCGCAAACCTTACAATTACGGTATCACTCGGATTCGATTGGATTGAAACTCTGAATTAACTAAGTCCAAACATTTGAATCCTAAATTTAGCCCGAATTGTTTTTATGGGCTTTCTTTGCTGTGACAATATGGACCTTACAAGCCCATCTATTTTATTTTCTGCCAGTGGAGATATTTCCATCATTTCTTATTATTACTTTTTGGAATATTACTAGCTTTTTCCTGAAAGTTTGAATTGCTATTTATATATATAAAAAAAAAAAAAAACCACCCCAGTTGTTGTTATATACTGTACTTATATCCTGAATTGCGGGGGCTTAGACTTGTGTAAATTTATAGGAGCTCAAATTTTATACTACTAGTAGTTGTCAACACTTTTGGGACGTGTTTCATTGAAGAATGTTTTCAATTTTACATCTCTCTTCTCAAAGAACTCCGGCTGCCTCGAACAGTACGAGCTTGAAAAAAAGTCACCGAGTAATAAATGGAGGAAAAAATTGAGGTAAAATAAAAAAAAATAAAAAAAAAATAATTTTATGCATCATGTGACTGATTTGTTGTAATGGACTTTCTTTTAAGGTATGCCAAGAAAAGAAAATGTCATCAGAAACTGTCTGCATCACAACCCACATGTCACTCAATTATTTTTCTTTGCACCTGCAGGGCATCAATTGTGTTTAACACGACACTGCATTATTGTTGGGTCTGATCAATATTAATTTAAACAATCCTACACATATGATCATAATTCTTGAACGTAATGTGATTTGGGCAAATTATAACCAGACCAGGCTGGTTCATTATTTGGATACTTAATACTCTATCCGTCTCATAATTATGATTCAATTTGAGTTCTCATTTCTAGTTTAAATTGTACTAAAAATAAAATTTTAAATTGGACAATAATTTTGAGACGGAGGGAGTATTACTTTAGGAGGATGAATTCTGTTTTATTAATCTTCCCAAGAGAACAAAAAAAAAATAAGAAATCAGATGCGATTTTGGGCTATCAAAAATTTTAGTGTAGCAATCAACAAATAAAGCGTCCAATATTGTCCTTTTACACATAGCCGGTGTCCATTTTCGAAACATTGCTAATTCCCTTCTATTTACAAGCTAAATGAGCCCATTCCATTCAGAAGCAATTCCTTTGAATGGTAGCGATTAAAACTGTTGTAAGATAGGGCAGAAATGAAAGCGAAACACCATAATGCTTACAAAATATAATAATAATCACATAAACCATCAGTTTAAAATTAGCAACAAACCCAGAGAAACTGTCCATTGAATCAATTCCAGTATATCTACAAAAATTGAAGCAAGTAATTTTAATAAGCTGGAAGTTGTCTGACTTCCTAAATAGCAGCCGCCTATAATATATGGCTTCTCGCTGACTAATGATTCTAGTTACAGGCTTACAGCTAACAACAGAGTTATGGAGATGAATTGAAAAAAAAAAAAAGTGAAATGACACAAAGAAAGAGGAAAAGAAAAAAAGAGATACAGTAGTAATTGAAAACAGGAGTACTAACGCTACTGAGTACTGACAATGCAATAAAACTCGGGAAAGTGGTTAATGCACTTTCTTGGTAAAGAGGCTTCGGATATTAAATAAATTACTGCCACGTACCCCTTCGTCGGAGCCATTTCCACCACCGCCGATTCCTTCACCACAGACGGCGGCGTCAGGCACCACATTAACCGCCCCATTTTCATCGCTTCTGCAGCTCAAGTGATTCCTGTACCCGATACACATCGGAACGTTCAACGTTAAAACCTTTGCTTTTGTAGACCCACTGTTACTGGTTGTGGCCGAGGCGGTGGTGCACACGGCCGCCGGCGAATATTTCCGGCGAAGTTCGCTAACTTCTCTTTTGATGGGCTTTTCAGTGTTCTTGGCCGGACCCGGAAGGTCACCGGCAACAACGTTCTTCCCCGCGGTACCCAGACCAGTACCGGAAGAGGGTGAACGGTGGTGTCGGACCTGCCAGACTGGACTACTCCGGCCCAAATGGACACCAGTCCGGGCCGGGCTACTGGGCCACTTCCTAGACTTTGACTCGCTGGCAGAGTTGCTCCTGGAGCACGGGGCGCTGCTCACCTTCCGGGTCGCTCCGGCAACCATCCTCGGCCGACTCCCGCCGTTACCGGCGGATTTACTCCTCGAAAATGGCCATATATTTATGTTAAGCTCAGCGGCGGCGCTGACACCGTGGCTTCCAGAACCACTAATTTTCTTCTCTTTTTTCTTTTCTTTGTCTTTTGCTTTTTTGCCTTTACTACAACTACTACCATCTACAACTGCACAATCATGACTATTATTATTATTATTATTAGCCTTGGAGCTGCTTCTCCGATCACCGGTAATCTTGAAAATATCTTTCCACCGCTTCGAAGACGTGAATGCGGCGGGCTGCGCCGAGACATCCGCTTCCACAATCCTTGAAACCCCGGGTCCGAATCCGGATCCTGGAGCGGGACACTGATCTGAAAACCCCGAAACCCCGGCTGTATCGGGCGGCTTATCCTCTTCGGGTGGGTCTTCGGAAGAAATGGTGGGTGGAAGGTGGTCAAGAGGGAGAAGGACGCCATCGGAAAACAACTCGTCGGCGGATAAAAGGTTAGGCTGGGGGAATGATGGGTTCCGGACCATCCAGAACTCAAATTCCGGTGAACTATTAGTAGTACTCCGTCTCCCGCTGCTACAGGGTGACAGAACTTGGGGGGAAGGCCTTAACAAAAGCTCCGGCGGCTCCATCATTCTTAATTTCACCTAAAATGATTATGCGTTTCCTCGTGATTTCTCTCTCGATATATATAATGTATTAATAATAATTTGGGGCTGAATGATATTTATCAGAGCAATCAAGGAAGGGGAAGATTTTAGTTAGAGGAGAAGTTGTGGAGGGAAATAAGAAATGGAAGATGGAAGATTTATCACATTTATGGGAAAGGATAAACTTGGGGTTTGGGTGATTCTATTGTTCTTCTGGAGAAGTGTGATTCATATTAACATCCCTCTATTTATTTGTGTAGTAAAGTATATTTCCTTACGTATTTGACAACCTCATTAATCTTTTTTCGTCCCTTCATAGACCTTTCCCCCCATTAATTTATCCCGATTAATCTGCACTTTGATACTATTAACTTGTGTCCTTTCATATATATTTTTTTTTACTTGAGCACATCAATTAAAAATAAAAATGTTTTAAAATTGAATTTTAAAGTATTAGTACATATTGTCCTTAATTAAATGTAGTAAAAATTTTACAAAAAAAAAAAAAAGGAGTATAAGAATAAGGAGTTGTCATTAATATAAGTTTTAAAAACAAGGATAAATAAAAGTGAAATTTGGAGAAAATGTAATCAATACTACATTAAAAATATTATGAAGTAAATTTGGAGTACTTTTTTTGACAAACCAGCGCAATGTGCTAATCTATCCTTATAGTACAACTAAAAAGGATATGGAGGTAGTAATTTTGCTATGATAACAAATTCTCAACAATTGTTGTAACATCACTTCTTTAGGGGAAATGAATTGGGTAGGATGTGCTAGTAAAACAAAAACAAAAAAAAAAAAATCTTTGTAGAAACAATTGTTGTAAAGTACTTTGTTTGTTAGGTTTTTTCGATGGTATTTTCAAAATATTTAAATAATAATTGTCTCATTCCCGCATACCTTTTCATATTTTTAATACATTTTTTTATATTTTTACAATACAAAAAACACCTAAAAACACACACTAAAAAAACCAAACAAACATAAATGTTTAGGGTGAATTGTGTTTAATTTTGAACATCTCAAAAAAATCACCTACCTGTAATTGCATCATCAATCAAAATATAAAGTTGAGGATTTCGAAAATATATAAACAAAGTTAGTGAAATGACATATGACAAATGTTATTTGTACTGTCTGTTGTTACCGAAGCAATGTCCCATGTGGGTGGTAAAAGCTGCAAAAGCCAACTTAATACCAATTAGGAATTTATAACAATTAAAAAAACTTTTGAAAGTGGAAAAAGAAAAGGAATATCAATGGGCGGGTACCGCAACATGGAAATATTGAAGGAATATTGATGTCGAATCCTAAAAAGTGTTGACTTATTTCACATAATCGGAAAAATTAGTTTGACATTACCCGATCGAATTATTGATCCATCCACATGGTACGATACCATGTGAACAATTATACCATATCCATGATTGATTGAATTTATAAAACGATTTTGGACTCTAAACAAATTTTTTCCTCCAAAAGGCTTAAGGTAGCTAATTACCATGTCTGTAATAAATAACTCTCTGTTCTGATAGAAAGGGAAGGGGGGGAGAAATGGAAATATCAAAGAATGCAAATGGGAAACGTACTAGAAATTAATTGGTCTTGGATTCTTTGGTGATGTCGAAGAAGAAGAGTCCATTAATAGTCCATGGGAGAGCTATGGCTGACATTGAAAGAAACAAAACTTAGATGGTGGAAGAAGGTGAGATGTGGTGGTGGGCATCTCACAAAAAATTCACAACAAAACTCATTATCACCCAAAGGATTTTGAGTATGTGATGTCAACTCATGTTTTGGTGTATCTATCTTATCTCAATCATCCTAACGCACGGAGAGTGTCTCTGTCTCATAATTATTGTTCAATTTTAAATTTTATTTTTAATACTACAATTTAAATTAAAAATGAAAATTAAAACTAAACAATAATTACGAGACGGAGGAAGTATATGATATATGTACTACACTTGGTAGAAAATTCACCTTACTGAAAGGGAAATCGGGTTTGCACCTCATCACATTGTGGATACTCACATTCATGGCGCCTCTAAATTAGATCGACTCTCAAATTCGGATTCGTTTTCACCAACAAAAAGTAGAAGAAAAAAAAAACAAATAGTTGTACTCCTTACAGTGAGGGGAGGTGCGGAAATCAAATCACAAATACTGGTGTGACATTTGTGCGTATTGCAACTCACAACTGAAAATGTCGTACTGGATATTATCTTACAGTTTCCTTTTGCGTCATCCACACTTGTGCATTTTATTTTTCTTAAAAAAAAATTAGCCACGTGTTGTAGGTGAATAAATATAAATATCACTAATGGTCGTTTGATCCTAGTTAAGGTACGTAAATCATCCTCAATGCTCACAAGTCTAAAAAGTACTAGTCTTTTGCTTCAAGGAAGGTAATTCATCATCCATGTAATTCTCTTTTCTTCTATGCTATTAATATTCAGCCAAAAAAGAAAAAGAAAAACGTGAATTAAACTAGCAAGCTAAAAAGAAAAGAATTTTTTCGGTGCAAACTGGAGTTTTAGGCTGCACGAGTATATCTTAAATTAATTAATTAGTACACCATTCTGCAGAAGAAAAGAAAATCATTTTCAAGAGACGAGAGAGAGTGCCTTGGCCTTGGATACATTCACTTAATTAACCATATATGTTAGTGACACGGGTGCTTCTTTATAAGTGAAGTTTTGCGGCTTTCTTGCCTCAAATGTGCCATTACTTACTCATTAGAACTTCATATGTCTAATCTTGATACCCGGGGGTGCGGTGGTGTTGGAAGATATGTTTAAAAGAGACCTTATATGTTGTGAAAGACGCCGACCGGAGTTCTATATGAGTTTTGATTTTTGAAAAGCACCAAACTCGTTACGTTATTAAATTGAATTTAATGTTAATAATTTATAATAGAGTATAAGATTGGAGTGAGAGGTAGTATTTGTCAATGTTGAGAATATCGTGAATTGAAATAATGTAACACAATTGAAGAGTGTTTATATTTATAGAGTTTAAACCACTTATTGCTTTTTTTTTAAAAAAAATTATTAATGGTCGACTTATATTTTCCAAAACACAATTAGTGTTGACCTGCGACCCATATAAATATAAATTAAATGGAACCTAAAACATTTTTGCTTGACAACAAGTAGTTTAATGATGTCAATAAATTCGATTATATATATTCCTAATAAAAATAATATTTTCTTTGGAACTTTTTTTTTGGTAACAGAAATAACAGAGGTCATGAAAAGCATACAAATGAGAAGAAGATAAAGGAGAATGTCCAAAGACAGCTCTGAGGAGGAGGAGGAGGAGGAACCTGTGAGGGAGGGTATGTGAGTTGTGGGGCCTTAAGAGTCAAAACAAAACCAATAACACACACAATGGAATGTGAATTTCGGGAGTTGAAGAGGATTTTGAGAGAATGGAAGAAGAACTGGGTTTATTATTTGATAGTAGTAAATACCTTGCGGGTTTTTTGGTTAATGGCATTTTGTTGGTTTGTAGGTGTGTTTGGATGCCATCATGTGATGGTTAAAAGAGAGGTAGTCCATTAATGCTAATTTGGCCCATTTGGACCCCCTCCCCCCAAGCACTCCCTTATTTATTTCTTACTACGTCCTACCCGACAGCTACTTCCACGTGCCTCCCCTACTTCATCACTGCGTCGTTATTGCTTCTCAGCATCCACCGCCCTTTCTCTCTTCTTTTTTTTTCCGAAAAAAAAAATAAATTTAAATGCAAAGAAATACAGTAAAACGTGGGTAAATTAATAATTTCTAACAATTATTAAATTTTTTCGATCCCAATTTGGGACCAGTACAAAAAGTAAAAAAAAAATTGATAAAATGATAAGATAATAATGTTTTAGAAAATCTATTATATATCTATAGGTCTCAACAATATTATAAATTAATAAATACACTAATACCAACAAAATAATAATAATAATTACTATAAATATTTAGTAAAATATGAACTATTAATACTTGTTTTTTAGTCCATGGAGATGATATAAACTATGTATGGAATTTTTAGCGTTTATAATAGCTTTAATACTTAATTGATTATGATGTAAAGAAACTGCAAATTAAGTAATTTAGTGACGGTTCTTTTTTTCACATACAAATTCTTTAAACTAAAAATTTATTAACTTATCAATTATTTAATAATTTGCTAAATTAATAAATTTTGGTGGTTCTAACACTATTAATTTATAGAAGTTCTACTGTATACTCCTCCTTTTTTCAAGTTACTGCAAAAGTATAATATACTTTCATTTAGAAGTGTTATTTCTTTCAATGTAACTTTTTTCCACGTATTTTCCTTTCTTTCAAGGTATTTGCTACTCTTACCACATACTTTGCTAATTTTTTCTGTATTTTTTTCTTTCACGTATCTAAATTTTTCTTTACAGATAATTTTATTTCCACGTACTTTATTTTTTTCACGTATTTTGATATTTCTTTATTTCCACGTACTTTATTTTTTTCACATATTTTGTTATTTCCCCGCACAACTTGTTATTTCTTTCACATTGATGAGGTTGAAAATCACGCCAACATCTTCAATTGATTGTAGCAGCGAACGTCAATGGTTAATAACGTTAAAACCCTAACATTTTACAAAATATTTCGAGTATTTCCAAGTTAGCCCTATAACGCGAAAATAAGTAAAAATCTAATGATAATATATAATACAAAAATAATAACAATAATGACATGTAATAACAATTAAAATGTTTAAAGCGTACCTTTGTGATAAAATATATTGAACTATATTTATAATTGTTATTTATTTGTAAATTGAATTCTAATAGGAAATGAAATTTTCAACCATTCTAAATATTTTTAGCCTATTAAAAACATATTTTATCCTCTTCATAGTTCATACGTCTTATTTTTCTTTCACCTACCTTGATATTTCTTCCAATGATTAATAAAACTCGAGAGACATATTACTTACAGACTGTGCAAATAAAAAGCATAGCTGTCTTTGTTCACTCCCATTCATTTTCATTACCCAATCCAAAAAAACAAAAAAAAAAAAAAGGAATGTGAGTATATTTTTCTGATGATTTTTGGTCTACTAGACATTACGTATAATTAATTAATAAATAAATTGTGTACGTGGGGGTGTGGCCAATAATGGGATCCAGATTCAACTCCCAAGTCCAGCAAGCAATCAGCATTATTATTGTTCATAAAAAATTCTGGTAGGTCGCAGAGGAGTTTCCTATATAATACTCCAATTAATTAATTAATTGATGGTATACCGTATACCATTATGAATGAAAACTAAAAAGGATAATAGTATAAGACAAGAAAATAC